TGGATTGATGATTGCAGCTGCACGGGGAGCCTCCTCGGACCTGACAGGCTCCTGGACCCGGCTCTGGAGCTGAGCTATAGCCGATTGCTGGGCTTGCAGCATGTCAAAAATCATTTTAAGGTTGATAGTCTCTTCGCCGACTGCCTGGGCCCTCGAATCGTCCTCTCCCCGGACGCTATGCGATGATCCGGAGGCCTGATCAGTGTTGAGCGCCATCCGGGAACCGGCATCTATCGGGTTTTCGAGCCCGGGCATTCCATTGTTTCCTGTCTGCTGTTCAAGTTCGTTGTTAATTGATTGTGCCATTCTATGAGTTGGTAATTTGAATGTAAGATGGACTCTTTTGCAAAGAACCAGCGTATTGTGATGCGTCAAGAAAGAGTATCAAAGAGCTCACCAATATCCTTAGCCCCACGGTGGGCGCCAAACTGTTTACCCTCGAATCCGGATAACAATTGAATTTATATGGAGTTTTAAGGATCCGTGAACTAAAAGATACAAAAGGTTTTTAGGTTGAGGAAAATAAAGATAAAGACTCAACAATTGCTGTTAAAGTAAATAATCGCAGAATATAATATTGCTTAGAACAATTGTGCTTGATGATCTACAAGAATTTAGAGAGATCCCCTTTTATACATTCTGATTAAGGGTAAAAATAAGGTAGGTAAATTGATTACATCGTGGATCCCTGTAATTACGCCTTAATGGCCTGAAGTGGTTGAGAAAATCACGTTTGGGCGAGATATCCGGCGACGCTTGGTTATCCGTTACGAGTCCGGCTTCCGACCTTGTGTGTTTCTCCATCCGGTGGTGACTCCTATCGAGCTCTGTAACGGTCTCGAAATGACTCGACCTCGGTTGTAGACGTGGCCGTCGTTCTACCTTGCATCCAGGTCGGGTTCGATGGCCCCGACTTGCTCCGGACCGGACCCAACCCGGTCGGGCTCAAGCAAAAAAGGGTATCACCCAATACAACTTTCTTGATTGATGCCACACAATCTAGCTTCTTGTTTAAGTGATTATCCTGTGGTGTTACTAAGTTGGCATCTACAACATCCACTGTTGCCTCTGGGAGTGAATAACTCACCCATTGCTTCAAGCTAAGATTTTCATCGAACAATTCATCATTAGGCTTTCTCCCTGTAACTATAGACATCATATTTTGTTGATACCAATCCATCTCGTCCATACTCTATGCTCAAACAAATTTAAAGTGTTAACATTTATATTGGTGGAAAAAGGAAAGGAAAATCAATGTCAGAAGCATAAAAAAAAGATGTACCCGGTGCAATATAACCAAATGTTGCTAAGGTTTTAGTGTATAAATCACTCTCATCTTCACCAAGAAGTTTTGAAATACCAAAGTCGCTTAGGTGGGCTACCATATTCTCATCCAGCAAGACATTACTAGGATTTAGTTCACAATGAATCACAGGCGATAAGCACTTATGGTGGAGATATTCCAATGCACATGCCACGTCTATCATTATGTTCAGTCTCTGCATGATGTCTAAGAAGTAGTTGTGTGAATACAACCACTTATCGAGGCTTCCATTGGGCATGTACTAGAGTACTGGAGCCTTAAAATCAAGGTTGGAACAACTAGTGATTGACTTTTGTGAGATTCCTATGGCGAAGGTTGCGCAAAACTTCACATTCTGTATCAAAACTCTTGAATGCCGCTTCCAATTGAAGATTGAACACCTTAACTGCAATAGGAGTCCCACTTCCGAGTATGCCTCTGTAGACAGAGCCAAAACTCCCAGAACCAATAAGATTGCTCTCGCTAAGCGCATCAGTTGCTTGGAGCAGTTCATAATATGAAATTCTTCGTCTTGTTGCAATAGACAATGAATCAGCTTGTTGAGGAGCTCTTTTACCTCCTCTATACCTTATCCATACAAGCACAAAGGTGATAGGAACAAATACCAGTGCAATTCCCAGTAGAAGAAATAGAACTAGCATTTTTTTCCTATTTGATCTATGCTTTGCAGAAGTGGGGCATGGCGGGACACTAAATCTTGTCGAACCACATAATGCTTCCTTGAAGAGAAAAAACTGACTTGAGAGGTTCTTGAAAGGACCCCCAGAGGGGATTTCACCATACAACATGTTATAAGAGACATTGAAATACTTTAGGTATTGAAGTTTCTCAAGAGACTTGGGAATGGTTCCTGATATATTATTATGAGAAAGGTCTAGGAATTCTAAACCTACCATGTTGCTCATTGAGTCAGGTATAGATCCTTGCAACCTGTTGTGTCTGAAAGAAAGGTTCACCAGATTTTGCAAGCCTCCAATTTCTCTAGGAATGCCATTTGTAAATTGATTCATTGACAAATCCATCTGTATTACAGCCTTTAGATTTCCAATTTCTGAAGGTAAAGAACCATCCATGTTGTTTGATGATAAGTCAAGAACCATTAGATCCTTAAGGTTACCTAAGCTTGCTGGTATATTGGAACTCAATTTATTGGAACCCAAATATATCTCCCTAAGGGAAGTAACGTTCCCTAAACAATTAGGAAGTGATCCTGAAAGCTGATTTTGACCCGAGTAAATAACACTCAAACGGTGAAATTTACATATATTATCTACAATTATTTCTGTAAGTTTGTTGTTACTCAAGGTGATACCCTGAAGGTTTATCAAGTTGCCAATCGATGTGGGAATTGATCCAACCAAGTCATTAGTAGAAAGATCAAGGTATATTAAGCTGCTTATGTTTCCAACTTCATTTGGAATTCTCCCTTTAATTTTGCAACCCCTGGCCAAAAGTTTTGTAAGAGATGTCGAAAGGTTACCTACGGAAAGTGGAAGCATGCCTTTTAGTGGGTTCAAAGATACAGAAGGAAATGTTAAATCTCTACAGTTTGTTAAGGAAGTCAGGAATCTTAACGATGAGTCGCTCATTAAATTGTTTCCCTCCAAGTTTAGGGTCTGTAGATGAGTCAAAGATCCAAGAGAATTGGGAATCAAGCCTGTGAGCTTGTTTTGAGAAAGCTCGAGAAGAGTAAGCTTCGAACAATTGGAGATAGAATGAGGAATAGACCCAACAAGATTGGTTAATTTACCAAGATAAAGTCTTTCGATGTTAGGTAAGACAGAACATATGTTTGATGGTAGAGTTCCTGATAGATTGTTGGCCAAAAGATCAACTTCTCTCAACCTTGATATGTTGAGATCTCCATTGAAAGTGAACCACTAAATCTATTAAACTCAATATCAAATACCTCCAAATCAACGAGATTACTTATCTATTTGGGTATTTCACCTGGAAACACATGAAGAAAGAAGGATTATTACTAATGAGTTTAAGTTGTATTTTTTTCTATCACTTTGAATACGCACCAGTAAACATATTATAAGTAAGTTCTAGATACGGCATGTTGGTTAAGTTGCTAATCTACAAATTACGTAGACTTCCAATTTCACTATGAATTGGTCCATCAAATTCATTTTCTGATAAAGACAATATTTGAAGTTCTGAACAATTTGACAAGCTTGTAGGCATATGACCACAAAGCTTGTTTGTGGAAAGATAAAGCTCTTTGAGTAATGGAAGACCATTGCATAAACCATTGAGAAGACTTCCTGATAAGCTATTGTTTGTAAATGCAATCACTTCAGGTTTAGAAATGTTGGAAACTGACATAGGTATAGAACCTGTAAGCCAATTATTTTCTATGGCCAAAAGGTTCAAGTTGTGAAGATTGTCGATCCCTTCTGGGATGTTTCCTTGAAGGAAATTGCGAGAGATTCTTAACGTCTCCAACCTTGTGGCATTCAAGAGTGACACAGGGATGGAACCTGTGAGCTTGTTTTTAGTCAATCCTAATAACCTCAAGTTTTTAAGGTTTCCAATCTCTTTTGGTATCTGGCCCTCTATGGAATTGGATCTAAAGTCGAGGGATTCAAGTGTGGAAATGTTAGCAAATGAAGAGGGAATAGATCCAATGAAACTATTATTCCAAAGACTTAGAAATTGAAGTCGATGTAAAAACCCAAACCAGACAGGAACCTCTTCTCCGAAGTTGTTGAAACTTAAATCAAGAAACTTAAGCCGACACAAACGTGTCATTTCTTGAGGAAATTTTGCATAGAAATTGTTGCTTCCCAAGTCAAGAGAAACAATAAATGTGAGGTTTCCAAAATCTTGTGGAATTATGCCCGTAAGAGCCAGGTTGAAAAGATTCAACGACTTAACTCTGTGATGGTGAAAACCACAAGTGACTCCAACCTAATGGCAAACAGGAGTAGCGCGCGACCAACTTTCATCCAAGAAATGAGAAGGATCTGATATAATTTGGGATTTTAAAGAAAGAAGAGCTAATTGATCAGTGGTAATGTTGGTATGAGTCATGGCTGAACTAGCCATAACATAGTAAAGCAACAAGAATGTTAAGAGAAAAAATGTGAAGGCTTTCTTCATAAGTGCAGAAATTAGTAGGAACATGGTATGGCTAGTAACATGTGGTTTTGAGACTTTAAAAAGCCATGCGATCTCCTTTTTGAGTCTTCACGATTTTTAAAATATCTTTTTAGGAGGTTTTGACATTAGCACTTATTCTATTGTAGTTTAATATCATGATGGGATTATATAAGCAAGGATGGAAAACCAAATAAAGAAATTTAAGTGCTAGTGTTTGACCCAGAAAGGAGTCGTCCACTAATCTTATAACCAAATGTGATGGTGCTCATTTGGAAAGAGAGACCAATGAACCTCAAGAACACAACAATAATATTGTTATAATTAATTGAATCTATAAATATAGAAAATGAGAATGTCCTATGAGAATAGGCTAGATCTAGGTAATTTTGGCGATTGTTTATGCTCCCGCTTGATTATGTTCCAATGTCATAATATGGTTAAAATGATGAAAGATGGGCTCTAATTGTGAATTTTACATATTGCAGGACGAGGAGCCTATGTGATGCCTTAAAGTTGAGATTGGAGCTACTTTGGAGCAAGAAATACCCCTCGGGGCTGAGTGTGCGCGGAGACTAGACAAAAAAATCGAGGAAATAAAGGCCCGGACTAGCGCGAGCAGTAGCACGATCGCGCTAGTCCAGATGTGGGAGGTAGAATGTCAGTCAACTAGTGCGACCTCTAGCGCGAGCAGTAGCGCGTTCGCGCTAGTCCCAGTTCCGGAAAAGACTTGTCAGGGGTAAAATTGGAAGTCTGGAGGAAATTTCACTTAACCTATATAAAGTTAATCTCACCCAAGGATTATGCATCGAGGTTTTCATAGTTTAGTGCAAGAAAAAGAGAGGCAAGAGGCAAGTTGGACATACTTTTGACACAGAGCCGCCGTGGAGGTTCGAATTCATCGGGTTTCATCTTTAGATCGTTTCCATTACATTGATAACATAAAAATCTGCTCTTCCTCTTTTCAAAGTTCATTATTTATATTTCTTTACTTAATTAGTTTAGAATCAAATACTTCTAGGTTTAATTCTTGTTTAGATAATTAGGATAGTCTAATTTAGTTAATAGTTAATCACAAGTCCTCGTGGGAACGATACTCTACTCACTACTTTATTACTTGACGATCACGTGCACTTGCGTGAGTGCGTTTGGCCGCAACAAGTTTTTGGCGCCGTTGCCGGGGACTTAGAAATTAACTATTTTTCTAAATTAGACTTTTACTTTTATCTTTACAAGTTTTTTTTTCTTCTCTTTTTGTAAATATTTTAATTTTATAACTATTTGACTTTTCTCATAGTGTGTTTCTAGTTCTCTCAACATGACATCTGGGAGGTCTGAATTTGAATATGGGAGTAAGGGTTGGTATTGGGACGTATATTCTCGATTAGGCGAATATGCGGAACGACGTTGTCTTCTAACAACGTTGGTGAATGATTGGTCTAAGGAGAGAGATGAACTTGTACATAAAATTGATAATTTTTGCTTGGCTGTACATAACTTAGATGCAGATTTGAGCACAAAGGTTGATGCCTGTAACGCCTAACAAATTAATAATGAGTTGTATGAAGCTGAAAAAAATCTTCTAGACCAAATTGAGGAGCTAAAACGAGAATACCAATCACTAGACCATGTTTTTCTTGAGGATGCCAATATTGAGAAGAGTGCTCTAGAGTCATGTGAGGGAGTAGATAACATTACTTTGGGAGACTTGAGTGTGTGTAAAGATGGGGATGTAAATAGTAGTAAAATTCATGAGTTAGGGCGCAATAAACCTCATTCCAATCATTTTTCTACATTGTGTTTAGATAGTGAGATACTAATCAAGCCATCTGAGCCTATGAGGGAGTCAAAGAGTGAGGATGAGAGTGCCTATATTCTTGAATTTGTTGTGCCAGAAAGCAAAAATTATATTCCCTATCTAAAGGCCAAGAAGTGCAGAGTGAAAAAATTATTACTTGGCCTGGTTATCATTGTAGCCCCACCACTGGAGCATCGCAGACTGGATGCCATGTTAGGGGTACAATTCATATGTTCGAGGTGGAGGAAAAAGTGGTTCACGTCGTGCCGCGACGTTAAATTAGGCGCTTGTTGGGAGGCAACCCAACTTTACTGCTTTCTTTTATTTATGTCTATTTTATTATTTTTATTATTTTTGTAGTGTTATTTTATTTTGTAGGATTTTGAGCATAGGGAGCAAAGCCACAGGAAGTGTGCAAAAGTGAGCCATATGGTTAGAACTTAGTGTGGGGTGCCCGCACAAAGGACTGTACCTGGGAGAAGTCTGAGTATCCCGTGAGCTGCTAATTCTTCGGCCTTTGGCCTACCAGGGAGTTTCTTTTAACCTCTTGTTATTTTCAGTGCATTGAGGACATTGCACAATTTTAAGTGTGGGGTGAGGAGATTGTCTGGGTGATTTTCTATGCTATCCTAGATTTCTTGTAGTACTTTTTCTTAGTGTAGTTATTTGTGTTAAAAAAATATAAAAAATAAAACGAAAAAAAATGAAATTTTTTTTTTTAGAAAAAGTTCGGAATTTTCCTGACGATGGATCTTTTGGAAAATTTTCTTGAGGGATAAAGTCCGATTAAAAACACCAAAGAGATTTTTTTTCTTTTTAGAATAGTTAAGTAGTATCCCTTGGTTTTTCTTTGGGCCACGGTTCTTTTTCAAGGGTTTAGCTTGAACCGGGTATCGGTAGTTTTTTTATTTGTTTTGTTTTCTTTTTGATTTGTAGATTAGGTTTAATGGGCTACGAGCTGGAGAATCAAAAGAGAACCTATAGCGTTGACACACCTGAACACAACAGACACTAGAGTGTAACGCTTAGTCTTATTGGTTGAATTTCACTAAAGTGCCTTAATTTGTATGTTTGTCACTGACTTGAATGCTCATAATGGAGTGTCTCGATGAGTTAATCTGGAATGAGTCATATGCCATGTGTGGTGAGGTTTTTGTGTAGTCCATGTATTGTACTTGTGTCTAGAACTTTCCCGGTTTGTGAGTCGAAGCAAAATTTTAGGTGATGCTCGGTTTGAAAAATGATTTTAGGCTTTCTTTGATCTTTTTGAGCTTAATTGCTTACCACAAATAAAATTTATCCCTAGTCAACCCTTTTTGAGCCTATAGACTTTTATTTGGCACCCACATTACAAGCCTATACCCTTTATATTCTTAATTGACATTGTTTTGATCCCTTTTTCCGCTTAAAGCACTTTAATTGTGAGCTGAACGCTAAAAGAAGTAAGAAGGAACTAAGTGTTGGGTGGCTTTTGAGTGGAACCAATAAAAGGAAGAAATGTGCACTTGTTTTGTAAAATAATACACCACTAGCGAAAATTGAAAAAAAAAAATAGAGATGAATAAATTGTTGTGTTGTTCTTGCTAGTGGGTAT